GAGTGGTCCTCTGCCTCTTAGGACAGAATTGAGTATCTTTCCGATTCAGCATGGGCAGCCCCTGGAGTGGTGGTTACAGCCAACCACTTGATAGCACGGTTGGTCCTGGGATGTGGACCACAATCCACTGAGACTTGACTGTGATCGCTGACTGACCCCTCCGAAGAGGGCTGGCCCTGAGGAGACTGAGGCTGGTGAGAGATGAGGGCTGCCTGGAAGCTTCGACCTACTAATTAGGCATGTAGTATGGGGTTTGGGGCACTGAAAGGGCTGAGGATCTGCTTTTTCTGGTGCATTTGCCTCCTGCACTTACTTTCCTGGGGAGAGGAGTGTGGGGTTAGCTTGGTGGAAGAGCACTTACCCAGGATGCACAAGGCCCCCTGGGTTTGATCCTCAGCACCCCCCAAAAAAGAGTGCATAGACTTTCTTTGGCTTCTATAAGTTGCCACAGACTTGCTGGCTTAAAACAGCGAGCATTTATTCTCTTCCAGTTTAAGAGTCCAGAAACCTCGAGCCGTTCTTCACTTTCAGGTCAGCCACCAGCAACCATCTTCTTGGCCTTAGATTCCGCTCGCGCCATAACACAGCATTCATGGGCTCTGGGGATTAGAACAAGGATAGCTGAGGAGACGAGGAGAAAGGTCAGAGGGTGGCAGGAGTGTGTGGACACTGCCTCTCCCACTTTCACTCTCAGCATCTGGCCTCCCCCATCTTCCAGTTCAGGCCCCAGGAAGCTGTTCCAAAACTGCATGGAGCTGCAGATCCTCATGCAAGTTTGGGGTGGTCACTCCCCTAACTCTGTCACCCTTGGGGGTGTCAGGGTCTCTAGGTCCCACCTGTAGTCAGTCTCACCTGGGAATCTACATCTCTTGTAGACACAGCTGATCTGCTCTCTGGGGTTCCACAGATCACAGCCCCAAGGCCTGGTTGCCCAGTTCTTGTTCAGGCAAGCATGATCAGTGCCAAGCAAATCTTCCATCAGCTGGGACCTGAGTGGTTGAGAGGGGCAGAGGCATGGGCTGGTGCCAGCCCTGATCGAGCGGGGGTGGTCCAGGGCTGAGCGTCAGTGCGGTGGTATTGGGAAGGTTGCTACTCTCTCTGGGTCTGGTAGACTGGGGGGTATCCACAGGTGCCAATGTGGGGTAGGCTCAAGGACTAAGTGTGACAGCCTTTGGGAAGCTCAAGAGTGTCACTGCTGGCCCAGTGAGAGGGACACCTCTCAGTCTAATTGCACCCAGGCCACAGCCTTGCTGTTGTCCCCCACTGCTGTTGCATCCCGCTGCTGGCTGTGGAGATCAGAGGGAGCAGGAAGCCAGGGCTGTGAGGAATGCAGGGATTGCTGAGCCAGTGTTCTGTGGGGTTCCTGGCGCCTTGCCTGGGTCTCTCTCAGGTCTCAGCCTGGTGCTTGGAGGGGGGACGGTGTCCCGCATGGGTGGTGAGTGTTCCGGAGAACAGAGCTGATCCATCTCCCATCAGCCACCACCTGGCAGTCTGTCGAAAGGATGCGGAAGTGAAACACAAACCACAGAGGTGGAGGTGGAGGTGGAGGTGGAGGCGAGACACACCTGGGTCACTTTGACCCAAAGAGTTCTCTGTTTGCTAAACAAACACGGGACTTCTGACTCCTGTGGTTTCTCAGGGTGACTCTCCTGTGGGCTGATGCTTGGTGAGGACTCTACTGAGTGTTAAAATCATTTCCTGACAACAGAGCAAGCGTTTATGGAGTTACCAAGCGCCAGACACTGGGTGTGTTTCATTGAACCCTTGCCATGAGCTCAGTGGCATGGATGTCTCTTGCTCAAGAGGGAACCACTTTGGTGCTCAGAGACATTCAGGGTGTTTGACTCCCAGGTCCCCCGGCTCTCTGAGCCCCTCTCTGCCTATGAGGGTATACACTCGCCCTTGTGTTCTCCTGTGCCCTCTTCACACCATCGAAGAGCCCTACGTCCTCCACACCAAGCCTCCTTGCAGGTACTCCTGCCTGAGCATGTCCTGTGCACCAGCTCTCTGGTGCATGCAACTCCTGAGCTAGGGGCTATGGATGCTTTTTCCCAAGGTGGGGTCTTGGATCAGCACAGCACAGAAGACATTGTGTTCATTGTAGTGGCTCCCTTGTGCCCCCTGGGCAGAGGTCTCTGCAAGTCTTTGGCAGGCCAGCATCAAGTGACCTTGCAGGCATGTGGCAGACCTGCTACATGGAGGCGAGAGGGGGTGATTCTGAGATACAACGTGGCTGCCCTCCTGGGATTATGGCCAATTGGTGTGTCCACCAGAAGTGAGTGTTCCTTGTTCCCCCAGCCTGCTGTGGCCACGTGAGAGCTTCTAAGAGCCCTATGCCTGAGACATGGGCCAGGGGACTGAGTAACCCTTCCAGGCATCACTCAATGCTGGGGGATGGGCCTAGGGGAGCCCAGTGGGACATGGCCTCACAGGACAGGGACAATTGTGTTCCCCACCACACAGACTGCAGAGCTTCTCCATGACACCTCTTGCACCATAAGATGTGCTCTTTGTGTCCCTAGGCATGATATCCTGGAGTGTCTTTGTCTGGTACCGTACTTCCTCTTTGAGGTGACAAGTGAGTTAGGCTGTATCTTAGTTACCTTTCTTGTTGCTGAGAGAAAATACTTGACACCCAAAGTTAAAGGAGGACAGGTTTTTTGGTTCACAGTTTGTAGAGGTTTCGGTCCATAATTGACTACTTCCAAGTCATGGCAGAGGAGAAACAGTTCATGGTGAGCAGAAGGCAGCAGAGCAACAAGTGAGGACCACAGCTCTTTGTATTCCTTACATCTTATCCAGGCTGCTTAGAGTGGGCAGGACTCACAACTTTAATCCTAGTGCTCTTGGTCCTAGCATTGCACCACGGATCATTTCTAGCATCACACTTTTTCGATCCAGCCACCTCTGAAAAGCCCCACCTGTAACTGCATGAGGCTTCAGGGGGACATCTAGACACAAGCCATAACAGCCTGGTTTCCATCCTGCAGGGAAGGAAGTGAGGTCACAGACAGACACCTGGAGCCTGATGACCCAGGAGGCAGCTGGTTACCATCTTCCCTCCACACGCCTGTGGGATACCTCCCTTAGGAGCTGCTCAGAGGAACCAGAGTGCAGGGCCCCCCAGGCAGCTCTTTCAAATGAAGTCCTCTGAAGTTACCCTCTTATACTCCATGACCAGGGTGGTTTCTGAGAGAATGCTCTGACTTTCTGATCGATCTTCATCTGTTTTGTGCAGAATACTGGAGTGTTTTCCTTTTCCCCAGGCCAGGCTAAGGCCCTGCAGAAGTGGCACCAGGCAGAATCCTGGCCCTTAGCAGAGCTTGGGGGTGATGGTGAAGAACGTCTGCTCCCCACGGCCTCGGTCTGCTTCTGTCTGTGCCCTCTGCTCTTCCCTGGAGAGAATGTTTTAAAGAAGTAAAAGTCATTCGCTAACCCTATCTGGCAGCTCCTAGGTGCCGTGTGGATTAGTGAAGCGTGTGTTTGGATCTGCAGTTTTGGTGGGTCTGTGCTGCTGTGTGCTCACTCGATCCCAGGTCTCAGGTAGCCTCCCCCACCTCTCTGAGCCCTAGCTCTGCATCATAGAGGGAGTTGTGGCTTCAGCCTCAAGGACACAGCTACATGGATGGTCTGAGGCCTCCCTGCCCAAAGACACCCTAGTCTTTGCAAATTAACACATAATTAGATTCATGAATATACTATTTAAGCCAGGGACAGAAGCATTGATGATATTACAGCAGAACCTGGGGGTGGTGGCACACACCTACGTTTCCAGCTTTTTGGGAGGCTAAGGCCGGAGGATTCCACGTCGAGACCAGCCTGAGCAAGTAAGTGAGACCCTATCTCAAAACAAGAGGGCCCAGAATTTAGCTCAGTGGCACCACACCTGCCTCACAAGTGCAAGGTCCTGAGTTGGATCCTCGGTATGGAAAAAAAAAGAGAGAGAAAGAAAATGATTTGGCATGGTGGTGGACATCTGCAATCCCAGCACTCTGGGAGGCTTAGACAATTGCAAGTTCAAGCCTAGCCTGAGCAACTTTGTAAGATCCTATCTCAAAATTTAAAAATTAAAAAAAAAGAGCTAGGGATATAACTTAGTAAAGGCCCTGGGTTCAATCCCCAGTACTGCAAACTAAATGCAAAATTTAAAGAAAAATGAAAAAGGCTGTGGATATAGTTCAGGGGCAGAGTGCATGCCGACCGTACTTAAGGCCCTGGGTTTAGTCTTCATTCCTGGAAACAAGTGCAGCAGAAAGCTTCCCGGCACCCAGAGCCCTGGAGAGGACCTGGGCTCAGCCTGCAGAGAGCCCACCGTGACCAGCCCTACCCTGCCTGGCCATGGCTGTGGCACTGGCCTCTTCTGGGAAGTACCTTTGCTCCGGGTCTGATTCTTTCCCTCCAGATGCCCAGTTGCAGGCCCAGCTGTGGGCTCTTGCTGAGCTGTTAGTGACTGTGCTGGCATGGGTACTGGATTGCTTTTCATTATTCTAATGGTTGCAGTCTCCCTTTATTTCTGGCAATCTTCCTGGCTCCAGGGGGCATTTTGGAAATATTTGTGCAGTGCACAGGTTCACTTAGCAGACAATTATATGGTTCGATTTTTCTTTCTTGCTGCACTTCAGAGAGACTTTCAGACTGCTGAGGTCCCTGTGCTCACAGTGGCGGAGCTGCGATGAGGGTAGCTTCCTGTATTTCGCTCTCTGGCATCTTGGGAGGCTTGGGCATGACTGGCAGAGCAGATTCAAAGGTCCCTGAGCCGCCTCACCCTGGCACCACCACTCACTAATCTTTTTCTTTTCTTTTTTTTTTTTTTTTTTTGGTTCAGGGAATCAAACTCAGGGCCTCTCACTTGCCAGGCAGATGTGGTACCACCATGTGGGCTTCATCTCCTGTGATGGCTGCCAAGTGGCCCCTTGGGGCTGTGCGCTGGTTACCTGAGGAGCCCTGTAAAGTGGGCACTCGCTGCCCAGTGCCGAGTTTCTCCGAGTACACTGTCTGGTTCCCCCTGCACCCTGGCCTAGGGCCTTGCTCTTGGGGGCTGCAGTCCGGGTGGCTTATCTCAGCAAAGCCTGTCTCATCGGAGACCTGGGGGCCTGTGCGGTGCTGAACCCAAGGGGACAGCAGCCCTCCGGGGGTGGGGCTGTGTTATTCTTCATCCCCAGACCTAGGCATCCTGCCCATAGGCCCTGCCCAGAGCTGGCTCCTGCTGGGCCTGGCAAGTGTCGTCCTTGGAGTGACCCATGTGCCTCTTCCTTGGGGCAGGGTGGAGCTGCCAAAGATCAACCCTGTGGCCCTGTGTGTGCTCCATCTGGAGCTGCTCCCAGCCCCTCTGCTGTGCCTTTGGAGACTTCCGGAGTGTTGTGCTCCCCAAGGGAAAGGAGTTGGGAGAAGGGCAGGCAGCCCTATGCATGGGGATCTGGGGTTACCACCCAGCCTGATTCACTGTCTTCTCTTGCAGAGCCCACAACTATGGTGGTGCCACCGGCCAGCTCAGAAGCCCAGGTACTTAAAAACTATTTGTTTTATCTATTTTTGAGACAAGGTCTCACTGTGTAGTTCAGGTCGGTCTCAAGGCAGTCCTTTGGCTTCAGACTTCCATGTGCATGCCTGGCTTTAAAGAGAGATGTTAGAATGTAGCTGAGGGCTGGGGATTTAGCTCAGTGGTTCCGCCCCCTGCCTCACAAGAGCAAGGACTGGAGTTGGAACCCTGGTACCAAAAAAAAAAAAAAAAATGTTGGATTGTTTAATGTAAATTGTAAAAGTTAGAGTTGTTAGAGTAGTCCAATATAAAGTTAGGGTTGTTTCACTGCGGCAAGACAGAGATCAAACACTGGAGATCAAACACTGGAGGGCCTTAGCAGAGGGCTTGTGGAAGGATCCATTTGCAGAGGACATGAGGGCAGACGCCCCTCAGGCTGCCCTGGTCAACGATCCTCATCCTATACCAAGAGGCAAGGGGCGGCGCTGTTGGGCCTTCTTTCAGTTGGCCTTGCCGGGCACAGAGCTTGGGTCTGGGGTGGCTTCTAGGGCCAAACCGGAAAGCTAGCCCGTGGGATCCCCGCTCAGCCCAGGCTTCAGACCTCACCAGCAGTGTCTTCCTGTGCCTCCTTCCTCTGCCCCGGCCTCCCTTCAACCAGTGCCCGGAGCCTGATGTTTGAACATCCCACTGTCTTTGAAAATCACGGCTTTTCTACAAAACCTAAAGTGACATGCCAAAGGTGGAGATGGGCACAATCAAAAGTGCATACGTGATTGCTACTGGGTACATAGAAACCATGGCAAAACCAGTCCTAGTCTGTGTGCTGCCCTAACAATGCCAGTGACAAGATATCCTTACCACTATGGAATATAAACAGCACCCAGCATCGTTGTGAGCTCTGGAAAATGGCATTGTTCTATATAGAGATTCTGGGGATTTGAGGGAGGAATGACTTATGTGTTTCTAAGACAACTCTGCATTGCTGTGTGGCCATTATGCATCCTTTTTACTGCTGCATAATATTCCAGATAGCCCCCCCCCAGTCCTGTACTCAGGGACAGGAAAGTCATCTGGTTCCTGTTGTCCAGGAGCTATAGCTTGCAGGCTGCACTGGGGGCCTGAGCCTGGCCAGCTGCCCAGGTCTCTCTTATAGGAAAGAAGCATTTTATGCCTCCCAGAGCGTTTCCTGTGACTGGGGCAGAGAAGAGCTGTCAGCTCTCAGATAGCTGGATGAGAATTATCCTTTCCCTGGCACAGGACAGCTCAGGCCAGCGGCAGGGAAGAGGGGCATGGTGGCCAGGCTCTGGCCGTGCACTTTCCTGCTTAGTCTCTGCAGAAGGGCCCAACAGTGGTGCCTCCCACCCAGGATTAGCGAAGAGCTGCAATAGAGCCAGGTGGTATGAAATCCTCTCTCTACCCCTGACCCGAACCTTGCTCTTTCCTGGCAGGAGAGAGTAGATGGGGTACGTGTGTGACCTGTGGTTTTTCCACCCTTCCTGCCATTGTGGTACCTGTAGCTGCACTTCCCCAAGGGACCCCACCCTGGCCAGGCAGCTGCCTTCTTGTCAGACTGCAGCGGAGATCAGGCATGGCCTATGGGGGCCACTGTTCTCTGCTCCCATTTTCTGCCTCGCTTTCTAAGGGTCCAGAGTCTTGGGAAGTGACTCCTAGGATACTGGCTGTGCTTGAGAGCCCTGTCCCCAGCAGGGCACTGGCTCTCACCACCTGTGCTTGCTCTGCCCAGCTTGAGCTGGGTTTCTGGACTGCTGGTGGTGGGGACCCAGGAAATGGGAGGCGAGGCCACTCAGCAGGTGCACACAGGAAGAAGTGACAGAGCCCACAGAGGGTGTGGCTCCATCTGCCACACAGCGCTGCCAGCCTGGGAGCAGGCACAAAGGTTAGGGACTGCATGGACAAATCCCAGGCCTGCCATTCACTGCCAGCTGTGGCCCAGGGACTGATGTCCCCAGCCTCTGTCCTAGGGAAGGGGACAGTGGGTTGTTGCGATCTAAGTGAGCTGTGAAGAGGACTCTGCAGGTGCCCTGCACAGCAAAGCTGTTGTCCTGTGTATGTGTGTCTTTCCTACCCTTTGGTGAAAGGAAAGTATGAAGCCGGGCCTCTGGCCCACAACTGTCTTCTCACCTCTGCGGGAGGCTGAGACAGGAGGATCACAAGTTTGAGCTCAGCCTGGGCAACTCAGCAACTTAATAAGACTCTGTCTCAAAAAATAAATAAAAATTAAATTAAAAATATATAATCTAAAATAGCTGGGGATGTAACTTGTAGGAAGGCCCTGGGTTCAGTCTCCAGTACCCTCCCCAAAAAGGAAAGCATGAAAACCTTTGGAAATAAACAGTGCTCTGCTAATCAGTAGCGTGATCCTTGCCCTGCATTCAGCTACATGGGCAGCCAGGCTGAGCTCTGGCTGGGTGGACCTGGCCTTCTAAGGGGTCTGTGCAGGCAGGGCCGGGAGGGTCAGAGTGCAAGCAGCATCGGGGATGAACATAGTGGCATAGCCTAGGGCCTCCTATTGAGCCTGGTCCCTGGGCATCAGGGTAGATGGTGTGAATAGGGTCCCTGCCGGTACAGTTGAGAAATGTCCGGTGCGGAGATGCATGCCTATAATCCCAGCACTTGGGAGGCTGAGGCAGGAGGATTTCGTGAGTCTGAGGCCAGACTAGGGTATACTGTGAGTTCAAGGCCAGCCTGAGCTGCACAGTGAACTGCATGTGAACTGCATGGCTAGACCCTGGCTCAAAAAAAAAAAAAAAAGAGAGAAAGTAGTTGAGATGTGCTGAGTCAAGGGGCCTCTACTGTGAGACCTCACAGATTTTTAATTACTTAAAAAATACTAGAGGGCCAGTGATTTAGCTCAGTGGTTCCACTGCCTGCCTTACAAAAGCAAGGTCCAAAGTTTGATCCCTAGTACCAAAAAATAAAAATACTAGGGCTGGGGATTTTGCTCAGTGGTGCTGTACCTCCCTTGCAAGTGCAAGGTTCTGAGTTTGACCCCTGTACCAAAAAAAAAAAAAAAACAAACAACCAAACAAACAAAAGAACAACTTACTAAAAATACTTGGGCCGAGCATGGTGGTGTGCACCTGTAATCCCAGCACTGGGGAAGCTGAGGTAGGAGCATCGCTGTGAGTTCCAGGTCAGTCTCAACTACATAGTGAGGCCCTGTCTTAAAAAAAAAAAAAAAAAAAAAAAAAAAAACTTGGGCTGAGGATGTAGCTCAGCAGTGCAACACCTGCCTGGCAAGGGCAACGTCCTGAGTTTGATTTCTGGTACAAATAAATAAAAAAAATAAATAAACAAACAAACTTATTAAGGAGATCTTTAAGCACATATAAAGCCAACAGAATGGCGCTGTGGGCCTTTAGCACTGAGCCCCATGGGTCACCAAGTTCTGGCCCACACCCTGGGTCCTCCATAATCCTCTCAGCACCCATGCAGGTTAGATTTATGTACACCGAAAAGTTACATGCATTTTAAAAGACATGAGATACACCTTTTCTTTCTTTTTCTTTTTGGAGTCAGAGGTGGAACTCAGTCAGGACCTTGCACTTGTGAGGCAGGCAGCGGCACCACTGAGCTAAATATGCGGCCCTTGCCTTTTTTATTTTAAAAGACTGGGGACTAAACCCAAGGCCTTCACACTGAGCCACATCTTCTGCCTTTTTAATTTTTTATTTGATATAGTCAGTAAGTCACTAAATTACGCAGGCTGGACTCAATTTTGTGATCCTCCTGCCTCAGCCTCCCAGAGTGCTGGAACTCGAGGCATGTGCCACCATAGCCAGCTGATATGTCATTTTTTTTCTTTTTTTCTTTTTTCAGCTTTAATTGAGTTTATTGGTACATTTTAGGGATATAGTACAGTTACATTCATTGTTGGGATCTTGTACCTCTACATGACAGGTCTTGGTTCTCGTTTTTTTTTTTCTTTTTTTCTTTTTTCAGCGTTAATTGAGTTTATTGGTACATTTTAGGGATATAGTACAGTTACATTCATTGTTGGGATCTTGTACCTCTACATGACAGGTCTTGGTTCTCATTTTTTTTTTTCTTTTTTTGAGACAGGGTTCCACTATTTAGTTCAGGCTGGCCTTAAACTCACTATGTAGCCCAGGCTGGCCTCAAATTCACAGTGATCCTCCTGCCTCAGCCTCCCGAGTGTTGGGATTATAGGCGTGTGCCACCCCGCCTGGTGTATCATTTTTTACAAGTGTCAAAATATGTGACATATAGGAGTTAAGCAGCTTTCTGTTACTGTAACAAATACCTGAGCTCATCAGAGAGGAAAGATTTACTTTGGGTCCTGGTTCTGGGGGTTCTAGTCTGTGACCGGTTAGCCCCGGTGCTGGGCCGGTGGTAGCACATCGTCAGCCGCCTTGGTGAGGAAGCTGCTCACCTCATGGTGGCAGAGAGGGGAGGAGAAGGAAGGCGCTAGGTCCTCTGTCCCCTAGTGTGCCCCAGCCACTGCCCCTGGGACCTGGAGATGGCTCTAGGCCCCACCTCAGCCTCCCCTTCCGGGGACGTTGGCAAGGTGGGCTGGGGTGGGGCCCTGAGACAGAGTCCTGTGTGGCACACATGAGACCCTGGCCCCACGCCAGCCCTCACACAGCGAGCCCTGACTAGTGGTAGTGGGGCCTGAGGTCAGCGTGTCTTTCTCCTTAGGTCAGAGTTCTCCACTGTGACACAGTGAGGCTACTATGTGCTTAGGGCGTTTGTCTCTTCTAATCAGCTTTTTTGTAGCCTACTCTGTTCCACCAACACCAGAGTCTGGATAGAGACCTGCTGGGTCCCCAGAAGTCCCCTGGGAACCTTCCTGCCCTGCTCCACTGTAGCACAGGGAGCTGCTGGCCTCTTCCTGTCATTTTGGGGAGGTTCCTTCTGCTCAGAGGTTCGTGTGAATAGAATCGTGCCGTGTGAAGGTGTTTTGTGTGCCTCTGTCTGGGTAATGGGGTGACTCACACCCTTGTTGGTCCCTTTTTCCTGCTCCGTAGGCACCTGTCATGGTTACACCCACCAGCTAAAGAATGCCTGTACTGTTCCAGGTTTGCGTATTTCTTTCTGGTAAATACTGCAAGAAGTGCAGAGTCTGGTGGTGGATGCATATTCCATTATAAGAAGCTGCCAGGAGAGGGACATTGTCATATTTGCCTGTAATCATAGCCCTTGGGAGGCTGAGGCAGGAAGAGCGCTGCAAGTTTCAGGACAGCCTGGGCTACTGAGACCTCACTCAAAATTAAAAAAAAAAAAAAAAAGAAAGAAAAGAATCCTCCAGGCTATTTTCCAAAGTGGCTGATGTATTTTGGGTGTCACAGTGTCTTGTTTCTGTATCACTGTGAGAAGCTGGGCTCTGGCCGCTGCCTCCTTCCAGCCTCTCCCCGCCAATGTCCCCTTGGCCGGATGCCCAGTGTGATTCTGTCCCTGTTCCACAGATGGTGCAGTCACTGGGCTTCGCCATCTACCGCGCACTGGACTGGGGGCTGGACGAGAGTGAGGAACGTGAGCTCAGCCCACAGTTGGAGCGGCTCATCGACCTCATGGCCAACAGCGACTGTGATGATGGTGGCTGCGGGACAGCTGATGAGGGTTACGGGGGCCCTGAGGAGGAAGAGGAGGCCGAGGGTGGCCCCCGCACGGTGCGCACCTTTGCCCGGGCCATGCAGCTATGTGCCGCACGCCTCACCGAGCCCCAGGGTGCTCAGGCACACTACCAGGCCGTGTGCCGCGCCCTCTTTGTGGAGACGCTGGAGCTGCGCGCCTTCCTGGCCCGTGTCCGTGAGGCCAAGGAGGTGAGTGACAGACCCAGGTGAGGGGCTCAGGGCTTCCACTGAGGTTCATGTGAGCGCCAGCAGCTGTGTCCACCTCTCCGCCTGCCAGCATGGGGAAGCCTCTGTCGCCAGAAGTTGTTCCGGGCTGCCTGGTGCTAACACCTCATGTACCTCCTCACACGTCCTTTTTACCAGGTTTTCAGAGGAAGGAAATGGAGGCCTAGGCTCCACAACAACTGGCTCCGAGCCTCTGCCTCCCAACCAACACTCCAAACCCAATAGGTTATTCATCTTCCTTCATCCTACTTTTGGGTCCGGAAGAAGGGAGTGCCAGGCTTCTGGCCCAGGCCCCAACTATCCATGACCCCATCCTGAAAATACAGTGCTAGCAACACTTGTGTCCCCTACTCTGAACTACAAATGCCTAGAATTGCAGATGCTTAGAGCACACAGGGCCAGACCCAGATGAGCTCAGGACCTCAAGGCATAAGACCACACAAGCACTGGACCATAAACGTACCTAGTGCCCAAAAGGACCAGGAAGACGTGGGTCCACACCTGCATGCCCACATCCTGACAGGACCAGACCCTCAGGGGATCTGAACCACATGCCCAGATCCTTACAAGCTTAGAATATCTGAGGCTCAGGGCCACAGGGGCCTAGACCTATGCAGGCCCAGACTAGACCCACAGAGGCTCAGACCTAGACTAGCTGATGAACACATAGGCTCAGAACCACAGAGGCCCAGACCCACACAGGCCGAGAAGCACACAGCCCTAGACCCCTACAGGTCCAAAAGCACACACAACTGATCCAAAGAAGCCTGGACCCCACAGGCCAAGGACTAAGCAGGCTCAAACCCAAACAGGTACAGACTCACAGGCCCAGCTAACACAAGCCCTGGCCCATGGAACCCAGACCCAGACAGGCTTAGGAACACTAGGCTTGACTGTTCCAGATCCCGACAGGTAGAGGACACAGGCCCAGATCCACACAGACCCAACTAGGGCAACACAGGCCTTGACCCACCTGTGTCCTCACCCAAAAGGTCCAGGACCACAGAGGCCCAGACCCCTTGAGGCTCAGACTCCCACAGGACAAGGACCATAAACACCTGATCCAACATGCTGAGACCAACACAGGGCCATACCCATACGCGCCCAGCACCTTATGTTCCAGGCCCACTCAGGCCCAATAGTAAGCAGGCCCAAACCCTCACAGGGTCTAACATACACAGGCCCAGACCCACATGGGCCCTGAACCACACAACCCAGAGCCACATGGGCTTAGGAAGCTGAGGCCCAGGGCCACAGAGGCCTAGACCACAAAGGCCTAATGCCATTCAGGCTCCAGAACACACTAGCTCAGATCAACACCACACAGACCAAAAGCCTTACAGGCCTAGATCCACCCAGGCTCAGGACCTCATAGGCCCAAGGAGCATATAGGCCTTGACCTAGACCCACACAAACAGGCTCACAGGGGCCAGGACCCCCGCATAGGTTTAAGGCCACACAGGCCCAGGACTGCCCAGGATGTTCTCATGGGTTAGCAGCCCCTTCCTTCAGCAGAGTACGCTGTTTCCCAGACAGCGGGACTTTTACTTTAGTAGGGGCAGGGGCGCATTTTCACCCAGACGACAGGTCTCTTATTGAACAGGGTTTCTCAGCTGCCCTGTAGCCAGATTCTAGTGTTCAGGGAGCTAGCATGACGCACAGAGAGAAGGGTCCTCTGGGGTACGATGTGCTCACCCAGTAAGCATTTTGGATGAAGTGGCCTGATCAGGCTAGGTGTGGACTCAGGCAGGCCGGGAGAGGTGCCTGTGCTGTTGCTATAGGAGCCCACTTGTCCCCATAGGGACCTTGAGTAGAATCGCGCACCTTCTGCTGCTATGTTGCTGGGGTTGCCAGGGAAGTTTGCCAGTGGTGTGGGGTGAATGCCAGGGCACCTGGCTTTGTCTTCGTAGGGGTGGCTGCGTGCTGAAGGGCAGATGCCCTCTTGGTGGATGTTAGGGGAATGAGGCCTCCAGGCTGCCAGAAGATCCAGGGCACCAGAGGCAGTGTGTCCAGTGCTTTCCTGATTACCCGCATAGAGCAGTCAGCGTCCCCAGTGTCTTCCGTCCCAGTCACCGTTGCTGTCCCAGACGTGGCTGGTAACCCATCCCACCCACCCTCTCTGCAGCACGGGTCTGGGGACCTTGCACACACACACTGCTGGCCCAGACCTCCACAGAGCAGATGTGGGCTGAGGCGGGGTCCCTTGTGCCTTGGCTGGTATCCTGTGTGGAGACACAGCTGGGGTGCAGAGACGGTGGGCAGGCCTGCGAGGGCTGAGATCTGCAGGAAAACATGAATCTGCACAAGGGGCTCCCCACACCTGTGTGTGCTGCCCATGAAGACACAGCGCCTCCTGGTGGACGTGGGCCACTGGGCACGGTGGTTCCTGCCTAAAACTAGCCGCCGGAGCATGGTGGCCAGGGACCTATGAGGCTCCAAGGCAGACACTGTGCTTTCTCTGGGTGTCTTCCTGAGCCACAGTGCAGGACTGAGACACCCACATGTCTTGTGAGCAGCAGCCATGTGGCGGGGGGCGGCCTGACCCTGACATCTTCCTGCCTCCCTGGACTAACCAGCTATGTGGTCCCAGATGCTGCAGAGGCTGGGAGAGGATGAGCCACAGATGCAGAAGCCACTGGCTGAGCTCGACAACCTCGGACATACAGACTGGGTAAGATGTGGCCCTCCTACCCTTACCCAGGGTTAGCGCCAGGAAGCCATGGTGCCTGTCGGCTGACAGCTGTTCCTTTTCTTCTGGGTCAGGCCCGGTTGTGGGTGCAGCTCATGAGGGAGCTGCGCCATGGGGTGAAGCTCAAGAAGGTGCAGGAGCAAGAGTTCAACCCCCTGCCTACTGAGTTCCAGCTCACACCCTTCGAGATGCTGATGCAGGACATCCGCGCCAGGAACTACAAGCTGCGCAAAGTCATGGTGAGCCTGCCCAGGCCTTGCCTCACCGAGGCGGCAGGACCATGGGATATGGACAGGCAGGTGTGGCCCTGATCTTGCCACTCTGGGTTTCACTGGAGACACAGTGACCAGGGCAGGGTTGTGGAAGGCCAAGGTGGCCCTGCACGACTGCAGGATCATACAGCTCTCACCTGTACCAGTTTCAGTCTTCGTATTTTGTGTTTGTGTTTCTTCTTGAGACAGGTCTTGTTATGTGGTTAGGGCTGGCCTTGAACTCACTGTGTAGCCCAGGCTGGCCTTGGATTCTAGATCCTTCTACCTCCATCTCCCAAGTGTTGGGATGACAGGCGTGAGCCAGCACACCGAGCTTCTTAGGGTTTTAATGTGCCACTCCCCTCTGTTGTGGCAGCTCTGTGAGGCGGGCACTCCCAGCCACACTCCCAGAAGAATCTGAGGTACAGGAGGCCTGGTTGGTAGGGTGAGGGTGCTGCATCCACCCTGAGGCATGGCTCTGTCTGCACACACCCGTCCTGGAGCCATGAGAGGGGACAGGTGTGAAAACCAGGACCTCGGAGCCGTTGGTCCTCAGCCTGGCCGCCCCATCCTGTCCGCCTGCAGGTGGGTGGGGACATCGCGCCCAGGGTGAAGAAGGATGCACATGAGCTCATCCTGGACTTCATCCGCTCCCGGCCTCCCCTGAAACAGGTACTGGCTCTGCGTCCCCTCTTCAGGCTCCCAGAACCCACTGCTGTGTTCTGCTTCCACAGGCACAGCCCGGCTCTCTCTGGCCTTGGCCTGGAACAGTGTGGCTGGGGTCTTCTCTGGGAGAGTTCTGTTGGCACAGATGCTCACCGAGCCCCCGGGTAGCCCCCCCAGCACGTGGGGTGGCACCGAGTACCCTGGACTGCGGGAGGAGGACAATGCCGGTGTCCGTCCCCCGGCCACCACTTCCTTGCAGGTCTCTGAGCGCCGGCTTCGACCGCTGCCACAGAAGCAAAGGACCCTGCATGAGAGGATTCTGGAGGAGATCAAGCAAGAGCGCAAGCTGCGCCCCGTGGGGACCCAGCGCTCAGGCACTCAGGGTGAGCAAGGCAGGGTGTGACGGAGGGAGGAGACCCCACGCCCAGGCCTCCTGCAGCCCCTACTTCCTCGCGCCCACAGACTGGGTGATATTGTCCCCATGAGACCCTGCCACCGTGGGAGACCTGGGGCATTTTAACTTGCAGGCTAGACCAGGATCCTTGCAAAGTTTTAGTGAGAGGCAGGTGATGAGGAAGGGATCTTGTCCTCAAGGCTTTGACCTCAGTTTGCTATTTTGCATTCTGCACAAATGACAAATCTCAGCATTTAGTAAGAAAAAACAAAAAGCAACATTTTTAGGTGGGGAAAACCAGGCAGATGTCAAAGGTCTGATCTGGTCTTCGTTACAGAGTAGAGGACAAACTCTAATCCTGCTTCCGCTGGGAGGCAAGGTGGTACTCCTTCAGGCTGGAGTTAAGTGGATGAAAACTGGTCTGTCTCCCCTCCTGTCACACGGTGCACGTGAAGCTGTGGCCCCTGCTCACTCTCCTGTCCACCCCAGGCTTTGGCTCTCTGCCTTGCATCCTCAATGCCTGCTCTGGGGACATCAAGTCCACTTCCTGTATCAATCTGTCTGTCACGGACGTCGGGAGTAGCACTCAGCGCTCACGGCCCCGGGTCCTGCTGAAGGCACCCACGCTGGCTGAGATGGAGGAGATGAACACCTCTGAGGTCAGAGCCACACAGACCCTGGCAAAGCCAGGGGCTGAGCCAGCTGGGAGGGGGCAGGTGGGACGGGTGCTTACCGTCTCGGCAGTCAGAAGCGGCCATGGGATACTCAGACAGTGCCCTGGGGCCAGCTTCTCTCTTCCTGAGGAGTGCTCGGGAGGGCTGCACATGGACATGTCAGTCATCCCGCGGCCAGACAGCTGAGCAGCCCTCGGCTGGAGGGCAGGGTGCTCACAGCGAGGTCCCTTGGCCACCACGGCTGCTGAGTGCCACCTCCCCTTCTCTGGGTGGCAGCTGTCTCTCAGCCTCCTCCTGTACAAGGTCTGTCCTCCCCTGGTACTTCCGGAAGGCCTCAGGGGCAGTTTGGGTATTGAGGCACTTGCCAGAGTATTCAGGCACGGGAGGGCAGAGCCAGATGTGGTGCAACACACCATAATCCAAGCACTTTGGAAGGCTGAGGCAGGAGAATTATAAATTCAAGCTTAGCTTGGAGAATTTAGTAACTTAGCAAGACCTTGTTGCAAAATTTATAAATAAGAGAATGACTGGGGACGTAGCTCAGTGGGAAGGCCCCGGGTTCAATCTCCAGTACCACCAAAGAAAGAAAGAAAGCCAAAAAAAAAAAAAAAAAAAAAAAAAAATAGGAAGGAAAACATACAAAAGTTTGAAAGACATGTGGCCTCTCTTTTTCACTGAGGATATACTTGTAGGGAAGAAATTCTCAGTTTGTGTTTTTTAGAGAATTAACAGTTTAGTTAGAGATAGTTGCATTTTAATAAATGTATCAAACTGTAAAAAATTGATTAAAATTAAATGTCCTCATATTTTTTTGAAATGTAGAAAAACTAAGGTTTGTCTTGATTGATCCCCGGGAAGATGTTAAATCACTTTTCCCCACCCAGCCTCATGCGTTGCTAATACACATCTATGAAAAGCGTTTCCCTCGGGATAATTCATTTGTGCACATCGTGCATGTTGGGCTAGGCAACCTCTTGTGTGCTCCAAACTTGGCCCTCTGACCTCCAAATACATCATTAATTCTCTAGAAACTCGGACTGTGGATTTGTTCACTACTATCTAGCAAAAGAAGTTGTTGAATTATCATAGAATGAAAGAAAAGAGACCAAAGCTTTGCATAATGCCTTAGTGGTTCGTGCAGACAGAGAGAACTGTCCACCGCCACTGGTGACCCCTCAACGAGAGCTGCTTTGGTGTGAGCCAGGACTGGGGTCCCAAGTACAGCTGGAGAGCAGACCCTAACGTGCCAGAAGACTCCTGGGTATCAGGCTGCTGGCCTTCAGACAAACTGAGAACGGACGCACTAAGTCTCTAGTTCTCTCTCCTCAGTAGGGTGCTCTTTCCCACCACGAAGCCCAGCATGAGTGTTATTAGTAGTCAGACCCTCACCTAAAAACCATCAGTCCACTGCCTGTTCCCTACTAGTACTGCTCTTTTAATTCTCAGACTTAGAAGTTTCCTTTCAATGCAGATATTTCTTAAGACAGACATTCAACTCTGCATTCCTTCTTTCTAGTTTAGATAAGCAGGGATCGAGTGATAGACTGGTTGGAATAAGAATGGATCCTGAGGACCATGGCTTTTCCGTGGCAGGTCTTCCCCTGGCCCTGCCAGTCACCTTGTCAGTGTCACAGTGGTTCCTGTGCTCGCTTAAAGAGCTGCCTCCATAAAGCTATTCCCACGAGTTCCTTGAAGTTACCTGGAAAGACATTGCTCTGTGGGCCAGTTTTCTCAGTCTCTGTCTCCCCCGTCTCTCTGCGTCTCTCTCTGTCCCCCCCACCCCCCATTAGTGAAAGATAATAAAAGGGAATTGGGACGTATTTGTCTTTTATTTTAGTGAGGTTTTTAATTCTTGCCCACATTAAATTTTCATGATAAATTTAGACCTGTTTCTTATAACTAATTTTAAGTGTGAAACAAATTAGAAGGAAATATATTGAGTGATTAAGTGAATCCTCCCCTCACTTCTAACTGTCGCACTGTGGGAAAGGCTACACCCTTGATCACTGGGAGATCGAACAGGGGTCAGGTGCGGCCTTACCTTTCCAGAGCTGATGTTCTCGGGACCAAGCAGGTGGGCTCTGCTTGGATGGCAAAGCGGAAGAGAGGGCCTGGTCCTGTCTCCGTGACCTCCTCAAAGGGCGTTGCAATAAGCAGGGTTTGTTAAATCTCTAACTAGTTTTTAGCCACTAAATGAAAACTTACTCTTTTTTGGCATAATTGAAAGAACTACAATTTTTGTTTCAGCTACTTTTCTTGAGAAGTAAAATAAAGTTTATCGTTTGGGGTACCTGTGGTAAGATTTTTCCATTCTGTTGCAACCCTGAAACATTTTTAGGTTACCAGAGGGGTGATGTTCTCGGTCAGTTTATAGGTTGCCCAGACTTCGTCTTAGGGAACTGGTCCTATCTGGTTGCTCCAAACTCAGGGGGGAAAAAACCTTTAAATTATGCTTAAATCTCACTGCAAATCTCTGATTTTCAGGCCCAAATACCACCCTTATCGTCCAAATTCATATATACACTCCTTACTGACATAATTATGTGGCTCAAGTCATTCTTAAGACTTTTTTTTTTGGTACTGGGGATCGAACTTGGGACCTTGTGCTTGTGAGGCAGGCGGCAGCACCACTGAGCTACATCTCTGGCCCTCAAGTCATTCTTAAAACATTTTAATGGCTCAGATCCATTTTATAGCCATCTTACTTGCATCAAACCACAAGGGGTGGTTTGATTTCATTCTTGATTACATCACAGATGGACCCCAAGACAACAGCTCCTACATTGTAGTTCACTAAATTAAAATTTAAATATTTACCCAAACCAAGGGCTGGGAGTGAGACAAAGGGGGCAAAGGAAGCCTCGTGTTGTCAGATAAATTTGGAAAGCCAAATTTGGAAAACTCTTTTTCCAGAGTTTTGCAATTCATGTTAGTGTAATATAGACTCAGAAATTCTGTCATAAAAGACTCATTCAACTTGATTTAACCTAATATTTCCCAATCAATTAGTCACACAAACCGTGCTTCAGGGAACACCATTAATATCTCCAGGGACACTGGTGTTCTGAGAAACACAGCTTGGAAATGTGGCCAGATGAAAACTATGCAGGCTGAACCGAATTGGGTTTCAAATTTTTTAAAAATTACTCATAATTACATTTAAAATTCAGATAGATAAAATGGGAGCTCGGTGTGGCAGCACCTGCCTATAGTCTTAGTGCTCTGCATGGCTAAGGCAGGCAGAGAGGAAGTTCAGGTCCTACCTGGGCAATTTTACAAAAATCCTGAGCCAAAATAAACAGTATTTCAAAAAGACTAGAAACATAGCTCAGTGTGAAAGCTCTAGGTTCAATCCAAGTAAGAGAGAGACAGAGAATATCAAATGGGAAATATTACAATAGGATATGATATTTAAGATGTTGAAATGTGCCTCGTCTCTCTTGTATTACATTACTCATAAAATAGATTCGGTCTCAGCATGGTTCTAGTGAAGCAAAGGTTAGTTTTAGGCGCACAATTAACATCCAGACCTCTTGTTTCAGTGCTGAGATGACCTACTACCGTTTGAAGCCCTTGGCACACTGTTACGACAGTTTTTAGTTACATACGGCCCTCCGCATCTTTTTAATCTCAGAACTTCTCCTCTGTTACCCCCGTTCCTGAAGTACGTCCAAAAGTTACTTCGCTGTACCTTACGAGACTCCTTCATACTTTGCGTTTACAGAGAGTAAAATCCATCACTCTTATATAAATGTGATTTTCTCCTTTCCTATTTCACTCTTCCCCCTTCCGCTCACAAAGGCACACTCTTGGTTTACTCTTGGGTGGACGCTAGTTAACGGCACATCGGTGCTCGTGACCGCTGTGGTAAGAGACTACTTTCTTCGGTAGGGAGCTGACTGGATCCTCGGGGGGTCTTCACAGCAGGTCCTCCCTAGCGCACAGCAAACATTTTCCCTCCAGAAACCCTGTCGTCCTGCTAGAACGCAAGCTTTCACCTGGGCGTGGGTACTGGACAACTCTTCCCCACCGTAACCGAACCGTACCACACACACCGCGAAGGAACTCGTGTGGCGCCTTCTTCACGAGGGAGCTCGACACCGCTGCGCTACTTAAGTTAGGTCCAGATGTAATTGTCCAAGGAAGGTGCACAGCTCGGCCAAGAAAGAGCAACCTGTTCAGTGATTTCTAACCTGCCTTTTTAAACCATGGTAAAGGCAGAGGATTTTCATTTTCAGCCTGCTTTGAGAGTAGGAAGGTGAGACGCGGTTTGGAAGAGAAAGAGTTGAAGCCTACTTCATGTAACCAATTTTTTCTCCATGTTGCTTAAGGAAGAATAATCCCTGCCTTTTATTCGGTGTGCCACGTGTGAAATTTAGATATAGGAAAGCATTGTGTTCCATAGTAATGTTGGGGGATTTATTGTGCTATCATTAAACATTTGATAGGAAAGAAAATAAAGCAAGCTTTTCCTTCGTGCTATATTTCATCCCAGTCAAACCCCTAGCTTCCTTCTGTCCCTGGTCAGGGTAACTCTTCCAGACTTGGGCTTCGCTCCCCCTGGGTTTTCTGGATATTTTGTAAATAAAATTTTATTGGAACACACCCCCACCCATTCATTTACTTGTTACTCTTTTAGCCACACCTAGAATGTTTACTCCTTTGCACTTGCAACAAATTTTTCTCACCCCATCCAAAAGACTTAAAGAAAGGCCAGGGGGCTGGGGATTTAGCTCAGTGGTTCCATTGCCTGCCTTCCAAGTAAAAGTCCCACAAGGTCCCAAGTTCGATCCCTGGTACCAAAAAAAAAGAAAAAAAAAAAAAAAGAAGAAGAAGGGCCAGGGATTTAACTCAGTGGCACTGCACCTGCCTCACAAGCACAAGGTTCTGAGTTCAATCCCCAGTAGTGGAAAAAAAAAATCAAGACTGAAAGAAACAGTGCTTACTAGGAGTATTGTCAGTTTCCATTAGACGTAGTTGGAAATGTAATTCACAGGGCACCAGTGGAACACACAGGAAGGACCTGCCTCCCTAGTGCAGGATCAACCTCAACCCAAAGTAGTCCCAAGCTGAGCATCAGTCCAAACAAGAGTGACAGATTATCAAAGCAACCCCAAGCTGTCCTCAATTTATAAGTGTACTACAAGGAAAAATAAATCTACTAGTTACTTCAATACTTTTCTCAATAATTGATAAAACTGCTGGGCATAGTGGCACATGGCAGGAGGATCGCTGTGAGTTCAAAGCCAACCTGAATTACATGGGAGACTGTCTTAAAACAATAACAACAAAAAACACCCAAAACAATATAAAATAGAAAGTAGTTTGAACAGTAACTCATTTTAGTTGTAAAATATTATGCATATTTTGTTAATATATGGTTAGACTAGCCTGGAGGCTCTGTTGCCAACAGAGATCACCACTGTAGATGGGCTGTCTAAATTGTAACTAATGTTTGAGGTTTTACACGAAGGTATTTACTTCTGACATTGAGTGTAGGAATAATAAATGTTCACTGATGCTTAGAACTGAGCACTCCCTCGAGGTCCCTCTGCTTCTGTAGTGAGAGGTATCTGGGGACACCAGGCCAGACATTCAGGGGAATCTGAGGGGCAGAGAGGTGTGCTGGATTGAAGCCAACACAGAAGAAAGATCCTGGAGTAGAGTTGAGTCCTGAAGGTGGAATGGCATGTTCAGCACAGGAGTGGGCAGAGGCCAGAGGCTGCCTCTTCTTCCTCTTCTCCACTGACGCCACCTCCCTTCCCTTCCAGAGCCGTCTGCACTTCCTGTAGCATAAAGGTGAGCTCTCCTGGGGCTTCAGTCTGAGTTGTGACAGGCATTCCACTGTCTCCTGCTGCATGTATTAGACAATCCTGCCCTCATGAGGCCTTTCATCCATGCCCTTTTCTGGAACACTTTTTCAAAAACTGATTTTAGCCAGGCATGGTGGCACATGCCTGTAATCCCAGCACTTGGGAGGCTGCCGCAGGAGGATCACTGTGAGTTCGAGACCAGCCTGGGCTATATAGTGAGTTCCAGGTCAGTCTCAACTGCGTAGTGAGACCCTGTCTCAAAAAACAAACAAACAAAAAATGTTTTTAGTTGACCCTTCTTTATAACCCACCCTGACAACCGAAAAACTTTTGTGTCATCAGTGTCAGATAATTTTGTGCAGGGCATGATGCCAAGCCCTTTATGGTATAAAAAGGCACCATTTCTGCCTCTAAAATTCCCCACCTAGATGAGCAAAAAACACAGCTGAGGTGTGAGGAAGAAGCACTGGTCTTCAGGAATGGTCTCTGGTGTCTGTCTTATCATGCAGGGCCCAGAAGGGGGCATGGGTTTGTACTGGTCCAGCCTGGGTCTGGTCCACACCTCCTTCTGTATTACAGATGAAGATGCCTTCTAAGAAGTGTGCACACATCCCCGTCTACACTCTGGGCTTTGAGAGTCCTCAGAGGACACCCATGGCCAAGGCCACACCAATGCAGAGGAGAGAGGTCTTCCAGTGTGTTGCTCTGCCTTTTTACAGGGGTCCTAGGTGTTCCAGGGAGGGGCTGGGCAGGGCATGTCGCAAGGAAATGCAGGGTGGGCATGTAGGGTAGTGTAGCCTAGAACGCTTGTTACCCTGGGAGGCGCTCCACTAGTGAGTTCTTTTTCCCAAATCTCACTTGTGGAGGGACAGGGGAGAGTATGAGGATGTTTGTGACCTGGGAGGGGCAGGGGCGGGACCAGTGTGAGTCTCAGCCTTGATGGTCTCCCCAGGTCCCTGCAGGGGCCAAGGTGGCGAAGCGTGGAGGAGGAGTTCCCGCACATCTATGCGCATGGCTGCATCCTTAAGGACGTCTGCAGTGACTGCACCAGCTTCGTGGCTGACGTCGTGCTCTCTAGCCGCAGGAGCGTGGATGCCCTCAATGCCACACCACGTCGCAGCCGCCAGACCCAGTCTCTCTACCTCCCTGACACTAAGACTCTGGACTTCAAGTGATGACAGCCCACGGCAGCCAGGCCTGAACTGTGCGTGTACATATATACATAGACGGGCGCCTTTATATAATATATGCACACAGCCTATATATTTATACAGGTTTTCTGGCCCTGCCATTCATTTGGGGCCAGTTCCACTGTAGAACCCTCCCTGGGGAGGCGGTTCCCTCTCAGGATTCCTTGGGATGGGGTGAGGGGGTGCTTCTCCCCGAAGACGGAGATCCTGAATCTCCAGCAGACTCCCCTGCCCAGGCCCCAGGTCTCCTGCACAGGTGGTGCCACAAGGCAGTTTCCCTTTCCTGGGCTGAAGTCCAGGTTGGGATGGGGAACCTGCCTGCCTCTGCCTTCTGGTAAGGGCCTAAGGTACCTGGAAGGCACTGGGTGTGTGGGACCCTCTTGGAAATGTCTCAGTGTGGAAAGCCAGAGGCCAAGCTTGGGCCCTGCTGCCTCTGCCCAGCACCCATCCCTGGCACCTTGTCCCTCCATCCCTTCCCCCGTGCTGGTGCTATCTTCACCTGCCCCTGCCCGGAGGCCTGGGGATACTGGATGGTCCTGGCACAGCTCTGTAAAGTTGTGCCTGTGGCCATGCAAACCTAATAAAGATTATCTCACAGTGACCATCTGGGGACATAGCTGTGTGGAAGGCTGAGGCAGGAGGATCACAAGTTCTCAGAGGTTGCATCTCAGCTCTGATTGGCCGCCTGCCTTCCAGGGCCAGAAAAGACCTCTCCAGTGTTGCTGTCAGGGTGCCCATCACAGGACATGACATCCAGACCTATTCCTGTCCACAAAGCCCTCGGCAGGCTAAGGCAGGAAGATGGCATCTTTGAGTCCAGTCTGGGCAACTCACCCAGACCTTGTTTCCAAATAAAACCAAAAGAAGGGTTTGGGATATAGCTCAGCAGTGGCGCACTTGCTTAGCACACATGAGACTCTGAATTCCATCTCCAGCACCACACACACAAAAGCCCTGCCCAGCTTCTCTGCCAACTCCAGAGCCCTGGTCACTATGGCAAGGGCTGCATGCATTAACAGCTCAGGATGCTGCCTGTCATCTCCTCTGGCTGTGCTTCCGGCCTAGGTCCCTTTGGTCTTATTTCTCAGCCCTCTAGGCCTGTTCTTCAGGGAGTTGACCCCGCTGGAGTTCCCAGAAAGCTGTAGGCTGTGGGTGGGTCCAGCACCAAGCAACCTGCTGGCTCACATGCACAGGGTGTGCTGTCATCACTCCCCTCAGCAGAAGAGCAGACAGGCTCAGTACAGGGAAGAAACTTGGCAGTTCATTGCAAGATGTCAACTCCAGACTGCACTGACTGCCCCAGGGCTGGAGGAGGCCCAGAAGGGACAAGGCCTATAACAGCAGGGTCTGTGGGAAAGAATACTCTTAGCACCTAAAATCCAGGAAATGCAAATACACAAAATCAGAGCAGCTAATAAAAGTATCCAGCTCCCACTACTTGTTTGTACATATACTACCTATTCTTGTGTTTTTATTCCTGTTTATAAATAAGAACCAGGTGTGGAGGTGAACATCTCTAATCCTAGCACTCTGGAAAGCTGAGGCAGGAGAATCACAGAGTAATAAACTGCTTGGGCAACTTAGTGACTTAATGAGACCCTGTCTCAAAAAGAGAAAAAAAGCTGGGCCAAGGATTTAGCTCAGTGGCACCATGCCTGCCTCATAAATGCAAGGTCCTGAGTTCAATCCCCAGAACCAGGAAAAAAAAAAAAATAGCTAAGGAAGTAGCACAGGGTGAATGTCCTAGTTTCAGTCCCAGGTACTGCACTAAAAGTGAAGGGGGTGGGTGTTCAGGAATTGCCTGTCACACACAGCAATAAAAAGGCTTTTGTCTGCACCAGTCTCCCAGACAAACACCCTTGGTTACCAAGTACCACTGCCATTATCTTCAATCCTACAGAGCAGAAACTGGCCCTGGGAAACACATCTAACTCACACTGCCAACACAGGGAGAACCAGGTCTGAACCCCTCAGAACACTCAAAAATAAAGCTTATAGCTAACAATAAAAGCACATCGTAGAGGCCCAGGGATTTAGTTCATTGGCACTGTGCCTGCCTTGAAAGTGCAGGGTCCTGAGTTTGATTTCCAGTAATAGTGACAACAAAAAGCACATCCTGGGGCAATGAGTGCCCCACACAGCTGCTTCTGGGGCCTGCTCAGCAGAGAAGCTCAAGGCCAAGTCAAGAACTGTCTCGGGCCAGGGATTTAGCTCAGTGGTTCCACCGTTTGCCTCACAAGCACAAGGTCCCGAGTTTGATCCCTGGTACCAAAAACAAAAAGAACTGTCTCTTCTGTCTCCCTGGTCCCTGAGGGGTACCAGCCTTACCTCTTTGCAGGAGATACAGGAATGGCCCACTGAAACAGCCTCAGCCTCATCTGGACAAACACAGCTTTCCTTGTTAGGCCGCAGCAGCCAGGAGACACTTTTGTGGAATTGCCTGTTTGCTTGCCTCTCAGTCAATGTGCACCACTCTTGTGGAGGGGAAGGTTTCGAGGCAGAGGCCTTAAGAGCTCTTGATTTCATTCACAAGCCAAGGAACAGTCCAGTGTAGACTGGTCGCATGACTGACCAAGGGCGGGACACAAACCAATAGCCTGCTTGTTAACTGGCCAGACACATATGACTGGGCTGGGGCCACTGTGGAGCACCTCATGATTCCAGCCAGCCACACACACCATTCCCCAAAGAGCAACACTGACTCCATTCAGACCTCAGCAGAGCCCAGGCTCCTGGGGGAGGGAGGATGGGTAGGGCCAAGCAGCCTTCACACCTACCCCTGCCCTGCCTCCCATCTCAATCATGACCAGCGCCGGACCTTGCCTGTAGTCCAGACTCACACACCCCATGCAAACCCAGCTCCTTTGAGTCCCAGGAACTGGCCTAGCCTCATAGTGGGCCACCCCACACCCCAGGCTGCTTCTCTTCACCCCTGCACTAGTTCATCACTCTTGGTTTTGGCCCTTGCAGTTCTCAAATCTGGCTGCCCCTGCAACGCTGCTTCAAAACAGCTTAACTCCAACTCAGTGGGGGGTGGAGAGTCTAGGTCTTTATTGTGAAGTTCTTCCTAGAAGGTTATGGTGCACCGTAAGGGCAGCAAGCTTCTACCTCAGGGGACCAATTCCCATACTTACATGTACAGGGGAATCCAACTCCCGGGACAAAATCTTAAGATTCTGAGTAAGTCCTATTTCTCTTGGGGGAGGAGGAGTGCCCACCAACCTGGAAAAGTTTTCGGTTTAGGGGTTTCTGGTTTGTTTGTTTTTTTTGGTAGGAAGCCCAAGGTGCGCTAATTGTTCCGCCTCAGCCTTCCAAGTACTTAGATGAGACGTGCACCACCATGGCCAGGTAGATAAGCTTATTCGTATTAAGGAGAGAACCGTCCCGGAGCGTTCCGCTTCCTTCCCAGGCCCCAACCCGCCAAGGACTCTGTGAACCAGGGTCTAGGGCCTGGGTGCAGGTGGCTCCGATCCTCTCCGCCCGCCACCCCTGTCACAGCTGGCCCTCTGTGCCCCGCACACGCCCCAAATCCCAGAAAAACACGTCAGTGCAGCCAGCCCTGGACGCTAAACTCTCGCGGGAGGAGCCCGAAGGCACCCAGACTTTCTTTGACGCCACAGGTGACGGACAGGAAGTTCCGGAGAGCCTCAGCACGCAGACGCGACACGCCAGCCTCGGCCAGTGCGCAGTCTGTGCGCAGGCGCGCCAGCAGCTGGATTTCTCCTCTTCCTTCTCCCTCAAGACGTCAGGCGACGGGTCCTATGTCGCGCCGGGCCCTCCGGAGGCTGAGAGGGGAACAGCGTGGCCAGGAGCCCCTCGGGCCCGGAGCCCTGCAGTTTGTCCTCCGTGATGACGATGACGCGGAAGAAGAAGGACCGAAGCGGGGCCCGGGGGTTCGGGTCCCCGGAGGCACAGGGAAGGAGGGCGTCCACGTCAACAACCGGTTCGCGCTGGTGAGGAGATGCGCGATGTGCGGGGGAGGGGCCGTGACGATCGCGAGGTGCGGGTCGGCGTAGTCGTGTCTAGACTGCGGAGGTCTGGGCGGGGCCGT